TACGTACATAATTTTTTCAAGCCAGTTCATTGCATCATACATTACAATTCAATGCGAGATGTTCGTATTGAACCGCATAGCGGCATTCATAATGCATAAAATGTGTACCACTAAACTGAAATTAACTTCGAAATTAGTCAAAGTTTTTTTTTTCGTATAATTTTGCCACAAAAGAATTTTAGTATATTTTCAGCGATGTTATCGAGAACTGCTTATCGCTTCTACTACCATAAATCCACTAGCACCTGTGAGATGCTCGTAAAAAATTGAGCTCAACTACTTATCATCTAAAATTTTCACCATTATAAATACAATAATGCCATGTTATTCACTTTTTTAAATGACTGCAGTGTCGTTAAATATAGATAATATCCTTAAAAGTCACAACATTAAGAGGTGAACTCGAACAGCCCAAGACATCTGTCAATCAAAACGAACAGTGCAACCAGCGTTTTTTTTTTGCTTCATCATTGTCGTCGTCGTTTGATGATCACTTCAATAAGCCACAGTTTTGTTTTGCATTGTCGTTTTGTTCACAGCAACAAAAAGCTGTTTACAAACTAAAATTCAAGATGAAATTCTTCGATGCTTTTTGATGCTGAACCGTATTTAGCAGTTTGATGCAGACGTTGTTCATTTGTCAAATTTTACAATAAGTACACTCGATGCGATACACTAGGCAGATGATACCTCTTGACTACTTCTTGCTCACGTGCCAATCCTTCAACGAAACGAACGTTCTTGCACTCGTCATCATTTCATTGTTTCCATTTTAATTTTATTTTTTTTCGTAATTAATAACACCATCACAGAATGCAAACAAATACTGTTGCACAGCTCAATCGGTCTGTGATGCTCACAAATGCCAAAAAATTACCGCTACCGCCGCCGACTGAAAGTGATAAACAAGCAGTGAATGTCATTCAGAATATGTGCTTGTGTGCGTTCCTTTCAAATAGCCGAATATTCAGCGTGCAAACCACAAATAATTCTCAGCGCAATAGCGGGATTAAAAACACCAGAATTATTACTGCAAGCTCATTCTTCTTCCGATAGTTTCAGTTCGATTTGCGTCCATTCGTTTGCTTACCGTGCCGTCGCTCCCTTCTCAAATAGATATCGCGTGATCGAAGTTCGTCGCACTTTTTGATGATCCGTGGAGAAAGAAAGAAGTACCATTTTGGTACTGATTGTGAGTGCAAAACACATGTAAATGAACCATTCGGGAATTTTACTCGATTGAAAATTCCTGTTAATTCATTCAGTCGACTGCTGCTCTTTCGATCTTAAGCCACAATTTTTTAGCACCCACCTAGTGCTGACTGATAAAAGTGCATAAGTCGATTGAGCATATTTATTCACTAATCGGCAAAAAAAAAACGGCGCATCCTTTCTGTGCTTGATGACCATCGTCATTATATTGGACCGTTCAATTGTGCTTAATCAATTCGTATGATCAAACAGAAGAGCTGAAAAATGAGATGCTGTAGAAGTGATGCAAGCGATAAGCGTTCTTTGTGTACAAATTATGAACGAACCGGCGAACGTACGTAGATATGTATGATGTGAACACTCAATCCCTCGAAATCAAATTTCTCAGGCAAAATTGAACAACACTTGCTTTTCGTTCTTTCTTCAGCACAATTATTGTGGGTGCATGCAACTAAAAACTATCAAAATCTGAATGTGAGTGGCATTATTGATGTTTACGGTGTCGATGATGACGTCGATGATCGATATTCGTTACGGTGTGACGAGACGAGACGAGAGATAGATAGATAGATGAACGTGTATAGTGTGGACGACCCCTCTCTTAAACTGAGGGGTTCAATGAATCGCTGTGATGCGATGTGCATGCATGGTCGTCGATGTACTGCCTGCCTGCTTATTTCTACCCAAATATTTGTTATGATTTTTTTCAGAAGCAACAAACAATCAGGCAAGGAAACGAAGTGCTATGGAAGGGCTTTGAAACGGAACGGAATGAAGACGCAAGTGGTATTGTTGATGTATCAACAGCACATTATCACTCGACCATTTATCACTATCACCGTCATGTATATTATGTGCTGCATACATGCACATACACACACACAAAAAAAGAATCAGTGTTCTATGAGGTGTCACCATCACTTCAGCGAACTTCAACATCAACTTCATCGCAATGAATCTATTTAGAAGGAACTCATTGCAGCACTTTAGATAGGAAAAAAAGTTCGAATAATGATAGCCGGTGTGATTGAAATTGCGAAAATTTAAATTCAATGGTTCGCAACCTGCTTTTGAACAAGTTTACTTGTCCATATTTTTTTAGAAGGACTGTGATCTGAATATGGTGGCTATGATCGCAACCTGTGTAAGCAGTAACCGGCAATGGATCTGTGATCCTTTTCTTTGAAACTTTTCTTCATACTAAACTTACTCAAAGGGTAGAGCATGTCATTGTGCCTAATCAAGGCCCAGAACACCTATAAAATAATCAGAACCTATACAATTTCAGTGAATATTTGTGGTTCAGGTGAAGTTAATACCAGTGTGCGATCGTGCATCAGTATACACGCTTATCTGCTCTAACCTTCTTCAATTCCCTTGTCAATCACATCGACAGCTTCATTCTTATTACGATATCTTGTAACGTGCTTGTTCTACTCTAAACAGCCATTTTCATCATTCTCTTTATAAAGACATTGCTTATACACATTCATCTCCATATTTCATCAGTAGCACATTGTTGAACTGCGTAAAGGAGAAATTTACTACTGAACCGAATGGAGCGAGAAATTGTTAGGAAACGCAACCTGGGGATATTCACTGAGCAGTGAACGATCCGCTTGCTACCTCTTAATATAATTGCAATTTTGGAATGAGGCTGGAACGACTGAGCACTAATCCACTCAATAACATGAAAGAATTTATATTGGATTGCATAAATATCGCCTCTTGCCTCTACTCTAAATATGAACATTACGGCTAGACAACAATTGATTTTGTTCCATACGTGCAATTAAACTGTTCAACTTAGGCGTGATGTTTCAGTTGAGTAGTTTCGTTCTGATGAACTAATAAGAGTGATGCTAACGCAAATTAATGCGCATTTACCGCTGTCAGTTGTTGAACAAGTAAAAAGCTTGACGATTCATATTCCAAGAATCCGACATGCTGATAGAATGCTGACAAGGAAGTAAATTTACAGCAGCCTTTTTTAGGCGAATAAGTGTTAAAGAGTGTGGAGCTTCAAATAATACGCAAATATCTTTATAAGTTCCCCAGACGATGTTGCTTTTGAGAGCATGTGAGGATCAATGATGTATGTACACTACAGCTCATCATCTATCACACCTTTTCACAGAACAAGTAGAAAACTTGTTTAAAAATAGTTGTCATCTACACGAGCATATAAAATGCAAAATCCCTCTCTCATCCCGGTAAATTTTGTGAGCTAACCTAGAGGCAATGCTCAGGTACAAAAATGTTTATTTTGATAGAATTAAGAGTTTAGATTAGTAGATTTAAATTCTGTTGCGTCAAACAATACCAATTTATTAGAAATTGCCGACTGTAGTTGCTAATAATTACCTGAGGTCAGATGAACTGTTCGGATGCTGCATAAGTCGTGATTGCAATAAATAATACCATTCTGCTGAAACTACAAAGAATTGGCATCATTAAAAAAACTCTTTGTGGTTGTCAAACAGTTCTCGATGCGATTGTTCTTCCTTTGAATATATTTATTCTAAAGTCCATTATTTTTTGTTGACATGTCCCATTCACTACTTCTTCGCATGCAAAAATGATGAATTATTCCTGATAAGACTACTACCAATCGATTTTATATTCCAAATGAACAAAACTGCCTTTCAACATAGCACTCACTTGCCTCATATTTGTGTTAGCCGGAGTGACCATATATATACGTTGTTGTGTACAAAACAAACGAGAAGTGTTTCACATTCAAAAATTACACACACACACAAAACTGACTTTACTGTGTCGTCGTTAATTTCATGTTGCTGAATCGACTCAACGAAGTATTTTTTAAAATGCAACTTCACATCAATTTTCTTCGAATACATAGGATAGTACTGCTGACCAGTTGTATTCACTTACTTTGTAAATAGCAAATTAGATAGTAGTTACATTTATTTGACTGTTTCTGTCCATGGTTTAATAAACATTTTATCACTTCTTTCTTTCTCGCATGTTAACTGACTTATCCGCTGAGTAAGCTTTGCCATCAAATGAACGATTGTTTGGAAATCAAGGATACTGATGTAATAAACTGAGATGCGATTTTTTCGATAAAATCGGGTTACATTTGCAAAAGTTAAGAAATAAAACGCGAGAGAGAAGTGGTATGTGGATGCACGTGCGATATTGCTGTGTGCACCGTTGGGAGAATGAAAAATGATAACATGTTGATTAAAAGACGCATGATGCATCAATGATCACCAACGTGAGTGAGCACAACAACGCATATTACACCGTGTTCCCCACCTATCTATGTTGTGTGCATCGCAACGCAAACGAACAATCACAGCAGCCTTTAACACATGTCACGTGATTTCATTTTGATGCTGTCAGCATTCTTGCACGTGCACTAGGCAAGAAGTTGGATGCCTTAGAGGACGAACGAGTTTGCTTTTTGATTGCAATTTTGATGAGATGTGAGATCAAAGTACAGCACAGATTTAGTTGTTGGTAAGGCAGTTGTGTACGATGGCACGAAAGCAGAGAGAACAATAATCGTGTGACGGGACAAGTTTTGTAACGAACGATAAATAGTGATGATGAGTTTATTGCATTTCCACTGAATGCACTTATTTTTAATTATATGTGCGTATTGTATAGCAACACAAATTCCCTGACATAAACAATAGACGACATAAATCGTTTGCATGAGAGTAGAAATCAAAATGAGATGATGATGATAAGATAAGAACACAAGCAAACGACAAAAACCGAAGCAAAAAAAGTGATAATTCGAAATATGGAAATCAAAATCACAGCACAGCACTTGGAACGGGTAGCAAAGTTGAGTTATTCGAAAAAGATGAAACAATCGGATGTGTCTTGATATCGAGGTAGGGATAAAGTGAGATGCGAGGATAGAATAACGGCAACGCAGGCAGAAGACCATCGAGGTAAGGGTCAACGGGAGGGGTGCGAATTAAGGCACTTGTTGGCGGCGACGATCCACCATCCGATAACGCTGGTTTAGCTGATGGACTATATTCAAGGTAGACTGGACTGGTTGAAAAACGTTCTTCATTTTCGTCGATTGCTGAGATGGTGCTTGCGCTCTCAGGACGTATCGCTGCTCTACTGTCGGCGCCGTTTCGTGCTTTCTCAATGAGAGCTTGAAGTTCTAACCGACGTTGTTTCAGACGGCTTCTTTCCTCGGCCGCCTTATGCGTTCTTTCTTGGAGATCCTATAAAAACGTATGATTCAATCAAATTTAGAGTCTGAATTTGAGAAACCAGTTGAGAAATTTCAAAAGAATGATTGTTTGATAAATGAAAATTGCACTGAGTGAATCAACCCCTTTCCTTTCACACTTCCAACCGGCACAACCAACCAACCAGTCAACAACAATATCAAATCAAACACCACAATATTGTTGTTCAAACAACGATAAAACACAAAAACGTCAGCTAAACCATGTCTCCGGCCCGTCTATTAGCACGTGCACTCAAAATGTGGTGCATGTGAGCAGAATTGAAGCTGCTTATGTCGTCTCACCATTCAAACAACACATTCATTACAAAAACCAGCAACTTCACGTCAACCAGTCGATCTCGTGATGCATACAGTCAATCGTTTTTACGAATATCTATTTCAACTCATTCCTGTCTCTGTCAGACATCAATTCATATACCACAAACAAAATCAATCCGTTTACGACACATCACAGAAAATGCAAATTTCTGAGCGAACACAAGTGGCTAGACTGGTCGTTGTATGCATGATTTGTGGAGGATAGCTTCCGAGAGAGCAATTTTCAAAAAAAAACACTCAAACTGAAAACCCACCATAATGTAGTCACGAGCTTGTGTAAGTAATGATAGCGTTGTATAACGCGTACTTTCACAACTGGCTGGTATAATACTCTTCAATTTGTCCAGATAACCACGTAGATTGGCACGTCTGGTTTTCTCGAGTTCATTATGAGCCGCTCTGCAAGCATTACCAAACACATTACTGTCAGCTACTGAACACATTGCGTGATCGATATGGAATGGCCCTCTATCATGCGGTAATAACTGAACTCTACCTATTCTTACTCTTATAAGAACACAATTGAGCATCTCCTATGATTTAGTTGGCTTCGAATCGTATGCTGAACAAAATGATTCAACGGTTCCAGGCCTATCTATCGATTGATGCTAGCCAGTTTGTAATCTAGCCCGTTTCATTAATACCTCACCCATAATGCAAACAACACTCACTTGCAACAATCAGTTCTTTCTGCACAATAGCTTTCAATGAAACTCAACAATCAGTATGGTGTGCCTGCCATATGACGTGTGTGTATGTATGTGTATGCGTTGCGTTCTATCATTGAACACTGCTCATGTGACAGTCACGTGGTCGATTGCTCTCGCACATCATGTGCAGAGCACGTGAACGATGATGAATCAACGCATGCATAAAGTGATGAATTTTCGTACCGACTATGACGAGGTGCAGCGTTTGCAGTTGTTGCGTAGGGTGACGGTGCTAGACTAAAGGTTGAACGTGAGTTCGGTGGGTGATGATCAGCTTCAGACGTTGAGGCTTTTAGGAACGAACGACGCGGTAGTACACGTTGCTTTCCGATCGTTGAATTTAGACGACAGTCGTCCTCTTGATCTGAAACACACACACACATTCATCATCATCATCATCGAGCCAATCGCGAGTCTAACTTTAATCGTTCTTCTCCTCCTGGAAAACGTCTTGAAATATTATCAACTCAAAGTAGTAGCAGTCAATAACGCCACGAATGAGAACATAGATATGAAGCATTTGATTTCGAACGCACTTCGATGTGCTAAAATAACTGAAGTAATAATCTCCATTAACTAGTAACAATAATAGAGAAACAAACCCAATGCATTTCGTTGAAGAATGGAATTGGCCTGCTCAATAAACTTGGCAGCTGAAATTAATCGGTCAATGCTCATTGATGGATGTGAATCCATTTAAACACACTGCAAAGCGCTGAAGTTAGCGGAGCCTTAATACCACTGACACAACTCCGAACGATACAAACCGCTCCACTACGGTGATGTCCAGAACAACGGCCAGTCAAAAGGGGTTGGGCTGTCGAAAGTCGATCATAGAATGCGATAAACGATGAGACGATGCATAGAACGAGAATCGTTTCATAGACACCATTAATGTGAGTGCAGTGAGAGTGGCCAAGAAAGAAACAGATATTGCAATCGAAAAGAAGATGCAACAGACTCGTGAAGTTAGAAAAAGAGGAATGAATGAAGTGATGTGCTGCTGAGCGTGGGAAAGAAGGAAAACACTCAGTAAAGATTGGGAAACTACCATAAACTTTGTTGCTTGTTAAACGTTGCTAATATCAGCAAGTATTTCGAATGACTGCACTAGGATAGGTATTATAGTTTCAGGAATAACGTCAGATTATATAAATGATGAGGTGTTCATTTCTCAAAGCACATGTTGCGCTCACAATTGCGATACATATAATATGTCATCCCATTCCAATGAATGCTCCAGTAAGTAATGCCAGAAGCATTCACATTTACAAACAAATTGCTCTTACGAGTCTAACTAATCATTTATTGCATTCATATTCTTTGAACAATGATTGATTCTCTGTGACGAACGAGTAGCATAAGTTTAGCAAATGCTGACATGAAAAGAAACCTCAGTTGAAATTGAGGAAAATATTGGTGACTCGCGTAATGTACTGCAGCAACCGATCACACCATTGAAAATTGTTTCGAAGAGATGATTCGATCACATGAACTGCTAATGGAACAACTTAGTGTATTGGAATAAAGTAACCCAGTGATGTTAAAATTGTGATGCACACAAAATGTGGTAAGTTAAATAAAATGAGATAAATAAGTAATAGACCGGATGACTGAATGTGAAGAATTTTCAGCAGATCGCATAAGTGAATGGCTGAATTTGCCGATTTAGAGGAGAAGAACGATAACGGAAAAACAGACAGATTTCTTGAGTTGACTCATAAACAATGCAAAGAAATGACATGAAGAAGCGCACACAACTGTGGTATAATCAACTCGTATCCACTACGAATCCACTATCACAGCATAAAATAATGGATGCAAAGTAAAAGAATCAATAAACATGATCAGCAGTGAGTGGTAACAGTTAATGAACTTGAGTATGGCATGTAAAAATGATGGTGTTTGTTGTGCTGCATCACAATTAATTATGAGTTTTCATCGAGATCTAAATGAAGATGGATTAACGTGATGATACGATTGTATAGGTAAGGTGCAATTATGGTGGAAGTTGCTCATAAGGAGTGAATGAATGGGCCACTTTTTTTGGGCTGCTATTTTCAAATGTGATATTGCTGAGATGATAAGAAAGTAGCAATATGCAAAGTATATCATTGATATGTGGTGCTCGTCAACGCGACAGTACTGAAATGGATTTCAACTGTTGTTATCACAATAACTGTTGTTTATTGTTTATGTCTGCATGTGAGTATTATCATAATGATCATAGGAATGACGTGAACTGTTGGTGTGATCGATATCTCGATGTAAGGCAGCTGATCAGGATGTCATTCAAATAAAAATAATAAAAACACGAATATCATCATTTAATTCGAAGTGAATTATTTACAGGAGAGAATGAACACTGAGCACAAATTTATGCATGCGGTTTCGTCATGTTGCAGTCGGATTGTGTTTTTGTTGTTAATACGATCGGATGCGTGATGCACATTCATGCAGCAGTCTCCTCGATTTCATCGTTTCTTACTTAATCGTCTTATCGTTGCTTCTGCTGCTCGCTCTGGTCACATTCAAATGAATACATTTCTCTACATCCATTCAACGCATCATCACATACATCCACTCGTTCGTTATTTTTTTACCAATAATGCAAAACACGTTATTCACATGTTTTGCAAGATCACGTGAATTAATCGTGAATGAATTCATAATGTTGATATTGATAATGGTAATGATTGTAACAGTGATATTTACCTCAGACAAACACTCATCGTTATCTATCCCCTCGCTCAGTACACTTCGGTTCATTCCACTTTGCTTTTATTCAACATTCAAGCATCAGCATTTTCATCAATCTTTTTTTTCATGTTCCTTTTCATTCTCTTTTTCTTTTATTCAGCTCTCTTTAGCATCGTCTTTATTTACGTTTCAGTGATTTATCGGCAGAGCAACGAAATGCTTCATCGTTTCCTCTTTTACCGTTGTTCAGCTGCCATTTGTGTATGCACGCGCTTGTTTGGTGGTTTGATTCGTCACGAGGCAGCATTCGTCATTCTCGACAACCTTATGCTTCAGAAGATTGATGATGCATGCGCATACTTAGTGTTTGCATGGCATCCCGAGAATCTCTAATCCCGACTTTTGAATCCCGATTCCGGGATTCACGGGATTTCCGGGATTCATAGCACAAGCTATTTTACATGAATTTGGTAGTATAACACGAATGAAGCATAAACCATTCCCAGCTCATTAATGTGCACTAATCTTTGCTGCTTACCACTGAAATGCTAATGAAAAAATGATTTATGAAAAGAAATTGAATATGAATATCGCTGATGATCTGTTGCGATCAGTTCTGGTGAGGACTGAAAATATCAACTTTAATGCATTTGATGAAATATATGAACGATCCTGATTAAATTCGGAAGGGAATAGATCATAGGGGGTATGAGATCCTGAAAGCATTTTATCTTCGAGTCTATCTTCGAGGTTATTCACTGCGAGCAATAAAAATGATGATAAGCCAGAGTCCAACCATCGGTAGCAAGTGATTCATTCAAGGACGGAAATGAGCACGATATTGATTTCTCAAAGAAAATAGAATTGCCAAAGTTCTTCTGTAAGTTGTGAAAAAAGTAATGCCGTGAACATAAGGGTAATCTCTGAAATGCATATGTACAAAGAGAGGAAGGAATGGGCGACGAATATGCAAAAATTGAACAGTTCCATCAAAACGATCCCACCGACAAGTGTCGAAAGTGAGCGATCCTTCTCCGCATTTTCTTTTTTTATTAATAGAAAACTGAAAAATCGGATGAGTAATGCAACAATCAACGCTCTGACCTTTCTGAAAGTTTATTTCATTTCTCAGTGAATTTTGTTTTTTGAATCAGTTTGCTGTTGTATCAGTCTTAAGTCTATTTTTTTCGTTACAAAGATAATTCATTTCATTACGATTTTGTTTCAGTTCTTTTGTTTCGTTGAATTTATTGAGTCTGTTGAGCTTTATTGAACGCTTTGCTGAGTAAACTGTTTTCTGAACACATCGGTTCGAAAAGAATACGTTGAACATGTTCCACTTCTATACTTTAAAAGTTGCTTTTGAATTCTGGGATTTTCCCGGGATTGAAAACGATCCCGGTATCAAATCCCGATCACGGGGTTGAGAAAATGGTCGGGATTTTGCAAACCCTACACACCCTGCCAGTGCGTCTTCAATTATACGACCACACAGACAACATGCGTACTCATGTTTCATTCCACAAACGAACTTTATAATGCATTACGCACTTAATCGTCATAATCGAAACATTCTTGCCCATTTTATTATTACATTCAATCATTCATTTATAATATCTGCAATTGTCATTCCACCAAAATTCATCAATATTCACAGACTCTTGTAGTTCTTTTCACTGACTCCATCTTGCTTAAAAAATTATTCGAAAACAGCTACTGAAGTGAGTGAATGCTATCATTTACTTCCATTTTTTAACGCACACAATAATATTAGTTCTTCGAAATGAATCGTGCACTTTGATGTTTATCAATCATTCTTACAGATTTACCAATTAACAGTTCATTTTTGAAAAAATTTCATAATATCTAGTCATTTATGGTTCTACCAACCATGATGAAACTTTCTGTTTTATTCGCCACTGAGACATTCATTCATCCATCCGTCCATTTATTATTCTGAAATAAATGCTCTATGTATGAAACGAAATAAGTGTGAGTAATTGCTATGATAAGTATAAAAATATTTTTTAAAGAAATATAATGAAGGTAGAGCTTTCATGAGAAAGGTTTCACTAATAATAGTTGCATTACGATGTATACAACAATACGATCTTGAGATTATTTCCCATTTTAATGTCTTCAAGAGATATNTGTCTGAGATAAGAAGTAAGCACGTAATTTTTTTCCGACACATTTCTGCAGTCATCAGTATTCAATTGAGTATATGAATGGTGGTTATTCGTTTCCAATTTCCAACGACATTCCATTTGTGCATTCAGAGAACACACACACATACAACGACAATTCACGTCTCGAAAAGTGGGTTTTATTAGTGATGTGGACGATGCTGATCGTAATAAAAACGCTCATCGTCGTATATACAACATTCTATATGTGTGATATGCTATAAACAAATATTAATATGTGTCTGAATATCGAAAAAAACCATTAAAAGGTTATCTCTAGTGCAGAATGAACTCTAAAGCACCGAAAATCCAATTGATTCGTTGCATGAATGAGAAAAATTATTTTTTCGTCATTAGTCGCCTGTCGTCGTTTACAATTTTTGAACGCGTGCCGTCGAATGGCACTTGCTCGATGTAATATTCATTCAAATACGAGTTACATCTGCTCGATATATAACAGCAATTATCTGCCGAACCGCGAAATAAACTTATCACTTGCTACGATCTGATCCTGAACAAACTGTGCACGAGACATAAATGATACGAAATCATCAGTTGCTCGAGATCGCTTTCAATCCATACTGTATCGTCGACATGAACAACCAGTGAATCATCCGTCAAATGATATATTCATTGTATTATCAATCATTATCTCCGTGTCGTAATATACCAATGAATCACATCATTGGGTTTTATTGAACTGAGCTGATTGAATTTCATATTCTTTCATCATGTTTGCAAGCTCATCATAGTTTATTATGCAAGCAATATAAGATTCCTATTCATTGCGTAAACGAATTAATTCTGCAG